CCAGAGCTTCTTTCCCACCCCTCCCCAACACATCTTTTCCCCCTACCACTCCTTCCTTTCCCCAGTGCTCATTCTGTGATATTTATTTATTTATTTTTATTTATTTCCCTAATGCTCCTTCTTTCCCCCAGGCTCCTTCCGCGTTCTGCGCCTGCTGGGGGCTGGAGTCCGAGGAGACGTCAAGTGCCCTGGGAGGGGACAGGGTGGAGTTGCTGGCCCAGAGCCCTTCTGCCCGGGGGAGGACGAGGACGGAGCCCTGGGCTCATCCAGCCGGAGCAGAGGACGCTCCCGCTGCCGAGGAGGGGACGGTCGGGAAGGGGACGCTGTCGGAGCCACGGCTGCTTTGCGAGAGGACACGGCCATAGGGGATCTTTTTCCTGCCGCTTCTCTGCACCAGAGCTCTACATGGGAAGCAGCTGGCCATGGATAAGCTGTACCTCGTGGGGAGCAACTTATGGACGAGCAACAGCTCACTGGGGAACGGCAGCCTGGTGCTGGAGAACCAGACGTCCAAGAGGAACAGCACCACCGACCCCCTGAAGAGGAACGAGGACATGGCCAAGGTGGAGGTGACAGTGCTCTGCCTCATCCTGTTCCTGGCGCTGAGCGGCAATCTCTGCGTGCTGCTGGCCATCCACACCACCCGGCAGAAGCACTCCCGCATGTACTTCTTCATGAAGCACTTGAGCATTGCTGACCTGGTGGTGGCCGTCTTCCAGGTGCTGCCCCAGCTCATCTGGGACATCACCTTCAGGTTCTACGGGCCGGACTTCCTCTGCCGCCTCATCAAGTACTTGCAGGTGGTGGGGATGTTCGCTTCCACCTATATGCTCCTGCTCATGTCCTTGGACCGCTGCTTGGCCATCTGTCAGCCGCTGAGGTCTCTGCACAGGAGAGCTGACCGCGTCTCCGTCCTCCTCACCTGGCTGCTGTGCCTGCTGGTCAGCATCCCTCAGATCCACATATTTTCCCTGCGGGATGTGGGTAATGGGGTCTATGACTGCTGGGCAGACTTTATCCAGCCCTGGGGCCCCAAAGCCTACGTGACGTGGATCACCCTCATGGTGTACATCATCCCCGTGCTGATGCTGAGTGTCTGCTACGGCCTCATYAGTTTCAAAATCTGGCAGAACGTGAAGCTCAAGACGGCTCATGGGCCCAGCACGAGCCTGAGCTCCAGCTCCCGCGGCGGGGCGGCCTTCACCAGGGTGAGCAGCACCCGGCTCATCTCCAAAGCCAAGATCCGGACAGTCAAAATGACCTTCATCATAGTGCTAGCTTTTGTAGTGTGCTGGACTCCCTTCTTCTTCGTGCAGATGTGGTCTGTGTGGGACACAAACGCGCCGCACGAAGGTACGTGCTCTCCTTCCCTGCCCGYGTGTCCGCACGGATCGCCCGGGAGCGCTCCCAAGGATGCTCCTGCTGCCCGCGGCTGGCGGCACACACGGAGGCTGCGCTTGGCAGCCTGATGCTCTGCTCTGAATCCGGAGGGGCCGGGAGGGAGGAAGGAGCCGGGCTTGGAGCTGGGGCCCCGGGGAGGGTCCTGCGTGGTGCAAGGCTGCCCTGGCCCCGCGCTGCCCCGGGCTGCTCTCAGCTGCGTGCTGCCCTCGCGGCGCCGCCGGGCTCCCTGCTGCTCTGCTCCCTGCCCTCGCCTCGGCGCTGCCTGCAGTGCCGCTCGCCAGGACCCTGCGGGTTTGCGGGAAAGGCTCTCCTGGAGGATGGCCTCCGTTTTGCTGTTCTTGGTGCTGGGCACCCGCTGCTCCCGTCGCAGGCTGCAGGCAGCAAGGAGGGTTGCCCTGCTCGGATTCACTCACCCGGGGCTGGACAAGCCCGTGTTGCACCGGGGAAGTGTGAAAGGAAAACTGCCTGGTTTGGAGACGGGAAATGGGGGCCCAGCGTGCGGTGGGGCCGGGCTCCCGAGCACTCGGGCTCCACAGGAGGGCAGCGTCCTGGCTCCGGTCAGCTCCATAGCGAGCACAGCACGCACTGGAGCGCTCCGGCTGATTGCTGCTGGTGCCGGCCGCGGTGTTCGTGCGTGTCGGGCTGCCCTGTGTGCCGGGCTGCTTCACATTGCCCTGTATTCTGGGCTGCCCTGTGTGCTGGGCTGCTTCACACTGCCCTGTGTGCCTGGCTGATCTGTGTGCCAGGCTGCCTTGTGCTGCTCTGTGTGCTGGGCTGCCTTGTGGTGTGTGCCGGRCTGCCCTGTGTGCCAGGCTCCCTTGTGCTGTTCCATGTGCCAGGCTGCCTTGTGGTGCCCGTGTGGATCGGGCTGCTTCACACTGCCCTGTGTGCCGGACTGCCCTGTGTGCCAGGCTGCCTTGCAGTGTCCGTGTGTGCCGCGCTGCCCTGCATGCCGGGCTGCCTCAGGCTGCCCTGTGCCGCCCTGTCTATCAGGTTGCCCCATGTCGTCCTATGTGCCGGGCTGCCCCAGCTGCCTCGCGCTGCCCGTGGCTGCCCCTGCCCTGCGGCCTCTCCAACGAGGGGCTYGGTGGGGAGAGGTGTCACGTCCGCTGGGACCCTGCCCAGGGAGCAGCCTCGCGTGGCGCTGCAGCAGCCGGGCTGGGCGGCTGCAGGGACCGCATGTAGCTGCAGACGGGCTGAGCGGTCCCGGCGTGAGATACAGCCCAGCTCCTGCACTGCTTTCCTGAGGCGGGTGCTCAGCGCAGATGGGTCCCTCCAGGCATCTCCATGTCGGGAATGTGCACGGGGCCTTGGGGCGCGCAGCCTCTCCTGCTGCCTGGCGCAGAGCAGCCCTGGGCCGGCCGTGCGCTGCAGGACGGGTTTCTGRAAGGCTGCTTTGCGGGACGCCCCGGGGCTGCGTGTGGCCGCGGTGCAGCCGCCTCCAGGCCCTGCGGCTGCCCTGCGCTCACGTCCCCGCAGCAGAGCCGGGCTGGGCTGCCCCGGCTGCAGCCACGCGCCGAGTCAGCGACGCCGGCGCCTTGTGAGCGCGTCCCAGCACCAAGCAAGCCAGGCACCACTTAAACCTGAGCTGCGTGTGAGCTGCTGGCAAGCGAACTGGGAAATCAGGGCTCGTTATTTGGCTGCTTTTCTAGATTAAAAGCTTTAAGTGGATTTTTGCATGGACGTTTTCAATAGGAAAGCAGTTTTCTTAAAAAAAAAAAAAAAAAAAGAAAAAGGAAAGAGATGAGACAGACAGAGAGGAGAAGGGCAAACCCAAACACACCTGCTTGCTGCCGCCCGTTGCAGGGGGATGGAGGGGCTGTGGTGTGGTCGGTGGGGCGCCGGGGCCCAGGTGCTAATGCAATGTGCTAACGCGCCGTGCTGTCTCTCGCAGCATCGCCCTTCATCATCGCCATGCTGCTGGCCAGCCTCAACAGCTGCTGCAACCCCTGGATCTACATGCTCTACACCGGGCACCTCTTCCACGACCTGGCGCGCCGCTGCCTCTGCTGCTCCGCGCGCTACCTCAAGGGCCGGCCGGCGTGCGAGCTGCCGGGCAGCCGCCGCAGCAACTCCTCGTCGCTGGCGCTGGGCTGCCGCGGCGCCGCGCCGCACGCTGCACCCTGAGCGCGCTGGACCGGCGCGGGGCGGCCCGTGGGA